TTTTGTAGGCTAATTGAATGATTTGAAAGAAGAGTTAAAGTACCAAATAGTTGGAATGCAAAAGTCAACAAGAATGTAGAAAAGTCAACCAGAGTGCAAAAAAGTCAACCAGAATGCCGAAAAGTCAACCAATGCATAAAAGTCAACCATAGTGCAGAAAAATAGCGCGGAGCGTCAGTTAAGTGTCGCAAAGCCACCGCTGAGCGCCAATTTCGTGGGCTTGGACCCATTTTTTGTTATTTTTCTGATATATTTTGGGCTTGGACTCGTTTTCTGTTATTTTTCTGGTCTATTTAAGGAGTTGGACGTCCTAGGGATTGTATCTTTTGATGGCTTGAGCACAAAAACACACTTTTCACCCCTTGGGAGTAGGTTTGAGGATGTGACAGCTCTCCTCTTCTCTTTCTATGGTTTTTCTATCTCTTCCATCCTTTCATTCCATTGTTCATCTAATTTCACCATGTCTATGGTGAACTAAACCTCCATTGTTGTTGGGGATTGATGTAACCTTTGTAAACTCTCATGTATTGAATTGATTCTTGATTATATATGTTTTACTTAATTAATTGTTAGGGTTTTTCCTCTACACTCTATGCATGCTTTGTTTAACTCATTCAATTGCATGATCATTGATTTTGTCGATATGGACACATACAGGAAAATCTAGATATAGGGAATCTCTCCCAAAAGCAGTATTGGCTAGACATAGGGATATGAGGGTTGGTTGCCTTTAAGCTTCTGTGCGAATGTAATGCTGATTAATTGCTAGGGAGACAAAACATTGTGAACTAGTAATTAGGATTAGGCTTTCTTCAACGAGACATCGAGTTTAAGGTAAATTAGAAAGTGACATTAACATTAATGAAGAAGACGAATTCATATATGCATGAGAATAAACTAGGTGAAATCTAAAACCCAACAACAGTACCATCAACTTCATTCATTCATTCTTGTGTTTAGCCTCAATTGATCAAATTGCATTCATGTTTATTTTTATTGCATTTGCATTCAAAAACCCCAAAATTTATTCTTTAGAGTCTTAATTAGTTGGGTAATCACATAACTGTTCAGTGTCGTGAGTCTCTTGGGAAACGATACTTGGTCTTACCATTTATTATTACTTGATACGATTCGGTACACTTGCCGAAGTGTTAACACCGACCATCATTATAAATGTATGTCAACTTTCATACTTCACCGTATCTTTCTTGTTTATCAAAACAAGATGATTCGAGTGGTCTTCCATCGCAGCTTTGGACCTGTCTCCCCTATTCCCAACTGTTTACCCCAGGAATAAACTCAGCACAAGTCGAAACCCTACGGGCAAGACATCCATCCCTTTCTATCCCTTCGCAAGAGAAAAAAGTAGCAATTGAATCTGAGGCCCTTCCACCACCAATCATGGATGAAGAGACTCATCTCTTCCACCGCCCTTTAAAGATAAAGATGTCGATAGGGGGAGCTTTGTACAATTGAACCCATATCTCACATATATGTTTTTGGTGATGACAAAATAAATGTGATATAGTTTCTTACATAACAAAATGACAAAATAATTATGTTATTATATCATTGATTGTGCTTGGACTATGTGATATGTTTATTCATTGATTAAGAATGAATCATTGATTGAAACACTTTGCACATTGTATATCTGCATGAATTAATTTATTACTATGTTTGCATAATCTATTAAATTCATCAGATATCAGTATATGATTAACAAAGGCAAAACACCAAGTTTTAACTGATTAGATTAAATGGATAATCGTGGTTATGTCTTCACATATTTACTGAGTGCATTAGAGTGTAATGAATGAAAAAGTTTTCAAATTTGCTTAAGTATGGAACTTAACCGATTATGTTATTTTTCTAATAAGTTAAAATGTGTTTTATATGAAAACGTTTTTCTTGGAAAGCCATAACTGTCATAACGGTCATATTTTTGAATGTTGTAGCTTGTATGATATGTTTAATTGATTGCATGCACATTTAATCTGTTAAATCCTGTGCAAATGTAAAAGTGTTAAAGTTGAAGGAAATACTTAACCAATTACATTAATTGCTTAATAGATTAAAATGTGTCAGATTTGAGAAATCTATAAATTGACATATTGCTCTCTGTATTCAACAACTTTTATGATTCATATATTTCAAAACTAACTTGTTGTTGAGATTTGAATTGAAGGAGAGTCCTGAAAATTTCAAGAATCAAGATTGCTAAATTTGGAAGAAATTCTTAAAGATTCTCGCAAGAACATTGTGGTTTCAAACTGCTGTCGTATCTGCACTTTAAGGTGTACTTCTGGAGATCAGATTCATCTACAATCAAGGTTGATTGTGTCCCTGTTGCTGCGGTCAACAAAGAGGACTTGGTGAAGTTCTAGGACTTAGAGTTGGTATTACTTTAAGGGTGACAGAAAGTAGGTGATCTTTCTGGGTTTCTATAGTTGGTATTGAGTTAGGAGGGAAAGTATGTTGAAAGGACTGTTCTATGTATGTCTTGCTTGTTAGAACTCTATCAAAATAATGGAATCCCTTCATCTAAGGTTGATTGAAGGAAGATTGTACGTAGGGAGTGGGCCGAACTAGTATAAAACAACTGTGTGAATCTCTCTTTCACTACACTTTTACATTGTCTTTGTTCTTGATTGATTGCATTCCAAGAAAACCTTAAAGGTTTCAAAAATCTTTTTAAAGAACACTTTGTTAAAGGGGAAAACCAATTCACCCCTCCTCTTGGTTAAGAATATTGGCCACACTTTTTGTACAAAAGACATCCACATTTCTACCCCTTCGCAAAAGGAAAGATGACTACCTTTCTACCCCCTCGAAAGAGGAAAGGCAACACTCAAATCTCAGTCCATTCCCTCGCCCATCATAGACGAAGAGACCCATCTTTTCCACACCTCTTTAAAGATAAAGAGATCCACTTTTCTATCCCCTTGCAAGAGGAAAGGTGACTATCTTTCTACCCCCTTGAAAGAGAAAAGACAACACTTGAATCCTAGTCCCTTCCATCGTCCATCATGGATGAAGAGACTCATCTCTTCCACCACTTTTAAAGACGAAGAGATCCACCTTTCTACCCAGTTGTAAGAAGAAAGGTGACTACCTTTCTACCCCTTCGAAAGAGGAAAGGTACAACCCCAGATTAACGAAGTATAGCCAGAAGACATACTTACATATCCATCATCACACCATATGGTTGGTTCAACACCGTGACTCTCTCACTAAGTTAACCAATGATCACGAAAAACCATTACCGCTTTTCTCGTAACCCCTTGATGAATCACTATTTTGTCCTATTCACTTAGGTTTCACACTGAAATGATTTAATGAATTGTGCTTAACTGTCCACTATTTTCTCAATTTTGCTATTTGGGCTTAATTTGACTAATACTTAATATTTTCATTAATTTGAATTATCATAGCTTAATTATTCCCATTATTATTTCCGGGGCCAATTTTGAAATTATAATTTGGACTTCAAGAGGGTTGCCACGTCATCTGTTATTTTCCACCTCAGTATTTTTTTTAATTTAGTTTATATTTCGTTTTTTGTATTTATTGGGTCAGACTTATGACTTGGGCCACTTCATTTTTTTGGCCAGAATTGAGGCCAGAATTCAAAAAGGGTTTTTTTTAAAACCCTTGAATCAAATTTTGAGACTATGTCCCTTCTTCTTCCCCATCTAGGGGGCGTCACCTAGGGGCTACTCCTGTTTAGGGTTCTTGTTCTCTTTCATTTTTCTTTCTTGTATTTCGTTTTGGGTTTTCTACACTTTGAATTCATTTTCAATTTCCAAATTTTGGTTGTTGATGAATGAAATATTGTTATGTTCTTGTTTATGATGCAATTTCGTTTCCAATTTCAATCCCGTTTCGCAATCCCAATTTCATTTTCTAATTCTAGTTCGTTTTACAGTTTTGATTCCAATTTCATTTCTATCTTTGTGTTTTCAATTGCGTTCTGCCATTTCATTTTGAGATGAATTTTGTTTGCTGAATTTCGTTTAATGGAAGTCTAATTCTTGTGGAACTCTAATCTTATCAAAATCTCATGGTACAAAATCAAACTAATAAATCTAATGTGGAACTAAATCAACCTAATGCTGAATTATGCTCCCAAGTACCCTAATCATCAAAGTAGTTTGATTCTTGCTCCATTGTTTGCTGAATTTCGTTTAATGCTCCACAAGTACCCTAATTAGGGAGATTGCATTATTTCCTTGAGATTTCGGGACCGTTTTGAATGTGTTGTTCTTACAAGTCAAGAGTAGCCCTCTGATTAAGGGTATCTCAGCCACCACTCTAGATCACTTCCTACTCTTGAACAAGTCAAGAGTAGCTCTCTGAGTATCCCACCACTCACAGCTCTCTCCCAGAAATCTGTCTAATTTCTATCCTATCTCAAACTCACTTCAAACTACTATATCCATGTTACTAAGTGAAATATATACAATTAAATAGTCTAGGCAACTTCTAAATAGCTCAAATAGCATNATATATATATATATATATATATATATATATATTTGATACAGTTTTAGATTTTTAGATTTTTGTCCCAATAGAGCGATTTTCTTTGACGTTTTAGATTATTATTTTAATATTTTATAAATTTTTCTATTTGTAGTTTTTAAATGAATTGATTAAGTTTGAATTAGATACGTAATTTTTTATATATTTAAATTATTTTTATTTGTTGAAATTAATATTATTAATTTAATTCTATTTAATGTTAGTAAATTTGTATTTGTATTTAATTTATTTATAGTAAATTTGTATTTGCAATAATAATTAAATCAAAATGTATTTAGATATTTTTTTGAATTAATTAGCTAATTGTTTATTTTATTTAATTTTTGTTTAGTTAATAAATTAATTAGTATTAGTTTAATTTATTTTGAATTGTATTTTTTTATAGTTTATTAATGATATTTAAAACAATAATTGTTTTTAATTTTTGAAATGAAACAATTAAATTTTTGTTAGAAATGACAAGAACATGTGGTGCATCTTTTAGTTCTCGAGGTGAGAGTTATCGAAGAGAGAGTTCAGCACAGGGCGAAGCTGGGAGAAGACCTACCGTTTCTGCTCATAGAAGTCGTGCACCTTCTATCCAGATGACCCTATAGCTGAGGAGCGAGCCTTTGAGGAGCAGACATATGAGGCGTATGAGACTCATGGTCAGGAGGATGCATTTGAGGCCCCTGACGACGACGATGAGGAGGAGGAGCATGCGGATGTTCGTTGCATACAAGAGGATGTCGATAGATTTCCTGGAGGTCCACGTGATGGTTCATTGCTAACGCACTATGTTCAGCATGTAGCTTATGCTATTTCACAAGGCCGAGTAAGTGCAAACATAAAATTTATTTTATTATTTTTTTAATAGAAACTTTATTAAATATTAATGTGTAGGATCGAGGGGACATACTGAAGTTGATCTCCCACGGAAAAAAAGTAAATAAGTTAGGACCATGCCACAAGGGAATTCAACACATTGTGTTGAATTCCAATTTGATGCGTCTCACAGAGATTTGTTATGATTATGTTGATAAGGGATTACTCCTCGGATTCATAGAGAGGTGGCATTTCGAGAGCAGTAGTTTCCATCTCCCTATAGGGGAGATGTCAGTTACTCTTGATGACGTCTCGACATCACTTCACCAGCCTGTGATGGGACAAATGTGTGATTTGGAGGAGTTGGACTTTGAGGAGGCTCATACAGCCCTTGTGCAGCTCCTCGGTGTTGATGGTGGCACAACTAATGCTAAGATGAAGGACGCACGTGGTCCGAAAGTCACAACATTGAGACTATGCTGTCATAGCATATTTGTTGCACTAGTAGGATACATGATTTTTGCAAATAAGAGTGTCAGTTTTATATGTGTGTCTTACTTATTGTTATTTAGAGACGTACACGCGTGTGGCAGATATGCCTGGGGCGTTGCTGCACTCGCCCATTTGACTCTATTTCAGGTACAATTATAACTTTTACATTTATTTCATGTATTTATTTCCATGTTCGAAGATGGATGAAATTTAATTGAATAATTATTTTTTTAGAGTTGGATATACGAACATTTCCCTGGCATGGGGAGGAGGCGGTTGGTGACTTCTTACGATGATACCACACCACGTGCCATGAGGTGCCAGAGCCCTAGTCAGAGTTCCACTCTCGCGGAGATTCGGTCACAGTTAGATGCGCTGACATATAGTGGAGTTGTATGGCATCCGTATGAGGGGCATCAGGGCATTTGGCCATTCTTCGGCATCTGTATGTTTTCTGGATGGATTCGGATTGGTGAAATCCTTTGCCGTCATTTGCCTGAGCGTGTGCTGAGGCAATTTGGGTTTCAGCAAGACATTCCACGATCACCCACTGCGGTTCCAAATGCAGATATAATGACCATTGATCATGTTTGGTTGCACTTTAGAGCTCAGGTTGTGAGTAATGTCAGACATGCAGCATCCCCTTCTGATAGTGTCAATGGGTACATTCAGTGGTTCAGGAGGGTTTCGTATCCTTATATTATTGTTGTTACAAATGACGCGCGACCGGCTCTTGTGCCTAGACAGCGCCCCAATGTTCCCATCGTAGACCGTCTCCACCTTCACCATCTGGCACCCTGGTATATTATTTTTCATTGCTTATATTATTCAATTTTCTTCACCTTGTTTATTTAATTGTTTGATATAATTATAATGCAGGCTAGATTTAGGCCAATGACGAGAATGCTACAGTTCTTAATATCGTGTCGTCATGTGACTGAGGGTACTGTTTCACATCAGGTGTCAGTGGACCTGCTTCAGATTGCTAATGAGGGCATCAACGAATATTCCTCGACTAGGAGAGGGCAGAGGCATGTGCGTGGTAGACGGTCGACGTCTAATTGATAGGACTTTGTATTTCATATTTTCATTATGTATTACAGGACTTTATATCTCCTTTTTCTCATTAAGTATTATTTGACTTTATATTTCCTTTGTATTTGTATTAGACATTTATAATTTCTTATAATTTTAATGTTTTCATTTTGAGTTCCATGTTCTTTTATATTGGTTATATAGATGATCAAATATTTATATGTTTAAGTGAAAAAAAATAAGTACTTAATTAACAACAACTAATATAAATATCACGAATACTAATAATATAAATATCTTCATACATAAATAAATAATACATAAATATCACGAATAATAATAATATAAATATCACGAATACTGAGAATAAGTACTTAAATAACAAAAAATAATAGTGTATTTTTACATATCTTCATACATAATATAAATATCACGAATCACCTAAGTCAACATAAGATGTTGTTACGCCCATCAACTGTACAAATGCTTGCATCCTACTAGTATAAATAGATGACCACACTCGTGCCTCAGGATAACAGTGAGTTGAGGACATGAACCATGGGCAACAGACAACCTTCTTATAGCTTAACCTGCATTATACAAATTACAATAATTAATTGAGTGATAAGTAATTTTAAAATGAAATCATATAAAGATACACTTACCTACACAAAATGACATCCATGAACATGTCCTATACAGATTAAGCGATGTTGAGTTATATCAAAAGGTGGTGTGGAACGTAGTGAGAAGATAGTATAATTTTGAGAGTATGACAAACACACTAAGATAACGTTATATCAGTTAGCAATTGCATAACCAATGTCTGATAATGTCAACTACTTGTTCCTGTTAGCCTGTTATGAATAAAACAAGGTGTTAGAAAAAACAAATGTAATAAATAAAATACATAAAATGGGAAACACTTACCGCCGACAATGACTACACCAACAAAGATTTCCTCAGTTCTTCTAGTCTATCATAGCCTCCTACTAGGCTTGCGTATTCATCACGCCATTCATTGAGTTCTTTGTACAACTCATTCCTGACAACGGGCCATGAATCTTCTCCGAATCCCAACAACGCAAGAATGCATCTATACCCACAGTGACCATCAGCAATAACATCAACAACGTCCACAATGAAAGGGTGAGTAGTAGAATGAAACTGGTTTATCATTGGAACTCTCCTTTTCTTCACTGCTTTTGGCTTTGATTGTAATTTACTTCTCACAGACGAAGATTCTATGGTTGAATGAAAGGCGTCCACATACTCAAAATATGATGGATCCCGCGTAGTAGACCTTTTCTTCGTTCAACTTTACTTTTTTGTGCACCCTTTGTCTTGACTTTATGTAATGGAGGGACCATTGATGTCAATGTAGGACAAACAATGTCAAGTAACTTCTGCTTGATGGTGACTTTACCGCCAATTTCAACCTCATTGAATTGTTCTTCTACTTGTTTCAACTCATCTTTAATGGATAACTGGGGCTCGGATTCATTTAATTCAACATTTGAGAAATGCAATCTTCGACACATGATATGAAATTCACCCACAGGGATCATCCTAGGATCATACCGTGCTAATTCACATGCACAAGGGACACCAAATGTACGTCTCAATACGCATCCACACTATGAGGAGTCCAATCCTATCTGCTGCACTATTTTCAATTCCTTAGCAATGAGATCCAATGCATATCGAGAGACACAACCAATAAGTTCTCTATATTTGTAGCCTTTAAAATGGTCACTCGTGAGTAATAGACTACTTTCAAATGACGCCTTAATCTTGTTGTGTTGTAGGATAATGATATTATGAATATTATCCCAACAAGAACACAAATCACCCATACTATTGCCCAGAACTTTCTTCAGGCTCCAATGAGCAGATTCAGCCCTAAAACAAAAAAAAAAACCTTCAACAAGTACAAATAAATATTTATCTACAAAACAAATAAATAAAATAACATTACAACATACCTATTTATGGTTGTGTTCCCTAAATGCATTACTCTGTTCGTCCAGAACTTTACAAAGTATGTATTGTACGAAATAATCCAAGTCTGATTCACATATTCAAATAACAAAGGCCATGAACTGCTCACGTATTGAAGACCATTCACATACTCAGCAAACAAGCTTTCATCAGCACAATCCATCACATAATCCATCAACACATCCCAAACTTTAGTAGAATGAACTAACATTTTGCATTTAGCTTTAACATTTTTAAGGATGTGGAACCGGCATAACATCTTATATGACTCAGGGAAAACATTTGCAATGACATTCATCAAAGCCAAATATCGGTCAGTGACAATGACTTTAAAACCACCCTCAGATGTTAAAAATAAACCTTTCAACTTTTCCAAAGCTCATGTGAAATTACTCTGCCTTTCAGTAGACAAGAAAGCAAATGCGGCTGAGAAGGTTAACCCTGTAGACGTCATACCCACAATCTCAAGCAATGAAAGTCTATATTTATTTGTTTTATATGTGGAATCAATCAAAAATATAACATTAAATGAGTTTAACAATTTGATCGCATCAGGATGTGTCCAAAACAGGTCAGTAACAACCTCTGAATCATCAGCACACCTACTCCAATAAAAGTACTTATCCCGATCCAACAACATCATAAGCTGTTGTAGTTCAGTTCTGGACCCTCTTAATGATCGTTTATACTCTTGCTTTGCGTTGTAGATTTGTTTAATCGTTGTGACATTTCGATCATTATTTTGTTTGAGTGTTTATAAAATATTTGCAGGTGTAACTTTACTCTTTGTCATATCAACCAGTAATGACTGCTCACTTGTATTTAACCTACCAGCATGAGGGTGACCAACTAAAGCTTCAACCAACTCATGTTATGATGTCCACACATCACCTTCAACACCCATTTGGCCCTATCTGAACATGGTTTACCTTTTAATCTAAATGGACACTCACATTTACGAGTGTCATATACACTAGCCACCGCATCGGCTTTGTATTTCCGATATTTTCTCCTTCTTTCACATCCAAGTATGATGAACGTTTTTCTTCCCCGTACACCAGTAGTTATGTCAGATCTTACTATTACCACAACAAATCCTAAATTCATCCCTCTTACCCATTGAATTAAGTGCTCCCGTGAACGAAATATTTCATTTGTGATAAATTTATTTGTTAAATCTCCCTCTACAACTTTGCTAATTGATGAAGAGAAATCGGATTTCAAACTACAACCAATTTGAGAATCCATATGAATATATTCATCCATTTTAAATAATAATCACCTATAAAATTATAATGAGCCTTATTAACATAATTAATAATTAATCAAACAAATATAAAATATTAATATAATTAAATTATATATTTCATATAAATAAAGTAATAAGTAATCTTTTATATAATTATAAAATTGTTAAAGAATTAAAGAATACAAAAATCATATATAAACAATATATATTTTACAAAATCTTTAAATTTAAAAACTAATTATATATAACGTGCAAAATAAAAAAAATATAAATATAAACTAATATAAATATACATTATTAAAATATATCAAAAATATATTAAAAAATAATAAATCAAAACATTTAAAATTAAATTATTAAAATATCTCCAAAATTAATATAAAAGAATAAACTAATAAAACAAAACCTAAAATAAAAATAAAAATGTAAACTTTAAACGGATGTTGACATTCGCTGAAGAATGCTCACCTCCATTTAAAAGTTTATATTTTTATTTTAGATTTTATTTGATTACGCACTTAGAGGAAGCACCACTGAACCACTGCCGCACTAGTAAAAAATTCGCTTTTTAACTCGTCTAATAGGCTTCAGTTTATAGAAAACCGAAGCCTATCAAAACGCGGTGGCATTGTTGTAATTAAGTCGAACTTATACGCATCGGTTCCCACTAACCCGAGGCATAAATGTCCTATGACCTCGGTTAACAAGACACCCGAAGCCTAAAATGTACACCTGTCCACTTGCGGTAGAAGCTTTTTGGTTGTCAACATCATTAAAGGGAGATACTGCCTTAGTTTCTCCTTTAACCGGTGCCATATTGGGACATTACCTCGGGTTTTAAATAACTGAGGTAGTAGCTCTTCTTGAGTTTCTAAACTTAACCTACTGACTGTTCATTTGTGTTGCCCAACAATTTCTTCTTCATCGCGCTCTCCCCTTCTTCCACTGTAGTTTCGTCCATCACTGCCACTCCTTGCCTTGTCGCGCCACCCCCTGTGCTACCAGTGCTCGTGCCTGCCTCGTCGCGTCGCAACCTCTGCGCTCGTCACCTCCGTTTCTGTTCATGCTCGTGCCTCCTCCTTGCGTCGTTGCGCCATTGGTCCCCCGTCGCTGCTGCCTCCGCCACTACTACCTCCGCTGTTGCTGCCTCCACCGCTGCTTCAATATTGTTGCCTTCAATCTTCCACGGCGGAGGCTCCGTCCTCGACGTCGACACCAAAAAGGTCAAGCTTCCCCCTTTTCACTACGATTCTAAGGTTCAGACCATCCCTTATAGGTTGATTTTACAGGTTGAAAATTGCTGATGAGGATGAATGGAGGTTGAACAGGGTTGCACAAAGTGAGGTTGGGGTATTTGCGATCTGCGTGGACGCTGGCGGTGGCTACGGCGGTGGTGGTGCGATCTGCTGGTTGCCTTTCTGATTGCAGGTTGTGCCAAGGAGAGAGAGAGCTTTCGCGGTGGTTCTGTGGTGGTCCGGTAAAGGTGGTCCGATGAATAGAGTGTTGAAGATTGGTGGAGTCGCAGCGGTATCTTGGTTCTTCGGTGGTTCTGTGGTGGTCCGACAATGGTTGCCTTTATGGTTCCCTCCTTTCTGATCTGCTGTCACGATATTGTACGACAGTCACGGCGGCGTGCTGGTTCTCTGGCTTGGTTTCTATTTCTTGCAAGTTGCCATGGATAACGACATGATTTTGGAGAATGTCGTTGGAGAAGAAGACTCCGCGGGGTGGTCTGTGGTGGTCCGGTAAAGGTGGCACGGTTGTTGGGTGGTGGTCCGAT